TGCTTGCTTGCTTGCTTGCTTGCTTGCTTGCTTGCTTGCTTGCTTGCACTGTGCACAGATTCATTGCATATTTCATGACGCCTGGTTGTGCCCTTTCAAGTCTAGTGTCGCCCTTTTTAGGGCCCCTGGCGGGTCTTTGTGTCTTCTTTTGGAGGTGGTGTAGGACCTTTCTCCAGCAACACGGGCCGAAGCCCTCGCTCAGCTCGGTGTTTCTGAAGCACCACTCGGCCAGGGGCGCTTGCAGATGCCACCAGCAACATGGAGGCATGACGATTCGGGCAGAGCGACTGAACGGGGACCCGAAATCTCCTGATCGAGACAACTTGCAGGGTTCTGTGTGACTTACTCTTTGGGAAAGTGTTGTCCGTTCTTGTGAGTCTTTGTATTTTGAGACGGAACCGGATCTGGTGTTGATCAATCTGTGTGTGTGGCACAGGCAGATGGAACTTGAAATTGATAATAGAGCAAAGCACATAAACCACACATAAAGCTATCTTTTGCCCTTATCGCCACTGTGAACCGTACTTTCTTGCCACGGCGGTTTTCTTTTGCTGCGGGGACAGCTATTTGCTGACTTGCTGAGCCGATAGTCTGGGGGATCCTGGGGTATAATGGTTTTGTATATCTGACATGATTATCATATTGTATATCCTATCATACCTGCACGATAGGGCCTATAGGGGAACGGACGAGACTGTGAGAAGGAGCTCTCGGAGTTCAGATCCAACGCTTTTTCACCATTCACCATTGGGGCTATCACTATTCGCCAGAAGCGACTAGGGTGGAGGCATTAGTAGTAGCCCACTAGACCCCCTCATGGGCCCGGCACCGGCAGAAGAAGGATTGTTCTTGCCCAGCCCCGTTTGTACCTACAAGCGCAGACCTTCACACCTTCCCAAGGAAGTCCTAGCTTCAATCATCTTGCCGTGTTGACATGAGCCATCCGGTCGCCCGAAGCGTTTGCAGTTGCATTTGCAGGACGTTTCTTTCGTGGCATTGGCATCTTGGTTCAGCCGCCAGAGTGAGTGCAGCCGCTCCCCAAACGGAGCCCTCCGGACTGACGATCTTCTAAAGCGTTGCGAGCATGGATTCGTGTGCTGTGCGAGTGGTGCAGCCACACGCGCATGCAGACGAAATCATCAAGCAGTCCTTTGAAGCGAAAGACCTGGTGAAGTTGAGCGAGCTCTTGTCGAAGGACCGTGGCTGATGGAAGCAGGGCATGTCAACATTTTGGGGTTGGGAAGTTTGGGGAGTGTGGCACAGGGAGCTATAGGACCAACTTGTGTGGTTGCGTTGGCGTTGCAGGAAGCCGGACTTGGGAACGGTATCTCGCTGCAGTGGAAGGACAAGAATATCATTGCGGATGTGGAGTCAGATGGGGCATTGCAATATCTTCGGACAGCCTTTGTTGTTGAGGCTGACGCAAGTGCTGACGCAAGTACTGCGGCTCCGACTGGGGTTGCAGGGGCCGCTTCGGAGGGGCTACCGGTGGCAGAGGCGGTGGAGAAGGCGTTTGTCGTTGAGTTGAAGGAGCAGCGCTGGTTTGAGTCACGTGCTTCGGCCATGGCTCTGGTACGTCCCTTGTTGCCCCTTATCAGAGCGAGCTAATGCAGTTTTAAAAGATTGTGTGAGTTCATATGAGTATAGGCTATACTGCTTGCGTTGGATGCGGGTCCTTTTTGTGCGGGCGCCTTGGTGTTGTGAGGCCCAACATTCAGCTCAGCCGTTGCATCCCTGTTGCCCGCGGTTCCCAAATTTGATGCTGGGGCCGTGGCGTTGCGGGTGCCTGGTCGCAGATTGGCCGCAGTCTCGCGCAGCTTGGATATGTCAGAGTTCTGACATCTGCGGAGGAGAAGAAGAGCCAAGAGGCGGGGGCGGGTCCAATGACTGTATGCCGCTGGTTCGAGGTCCCCTATGTTGGCTTAGAGGGTGATTTATTTATACGTATGTCTGACTGTGAAGCCATGCATTAGGGCTGATCTGAGGGGCAGTCTGATGATAAGTACATCCCAAAGCGCCCTTTGTTGAGGCTGGGGCTGATCTGAAGCGGCGGTGCGAACAGTTGGCCAACCACGCCACATCCATGGAGTGGCTTCTGAAGGAGAGGCCTGCGGGAGGATCCCTGGGTCGAAAACGGCGCGCCATTGATCGCGCTGTGGCCGTGATCTCGACTGGTTCCCGAGTCCTTGCGTCGCGAGTTGCTAGTGCTGCTGAAGATCTTGGGGAGAATGACCCAGATGAGGCCGAAGAGGACACACAATGCTCATGACTCTGACGGCGCTGCCTTTCCCTTGCTTTGCAATCTTGCACTGAGGAGTGATTCCACTAGACAAGATGTCTGTGGAGTGGCTTGCTGGACCACGAGTGTCCTTGTTGAATGTAACGCTGTGAGCAACAGGTGCTGATGGTTCGGGTTGTGGGGGCCTCTTCTGGTCGGTAGAGCAGGTTCCTTGACGGGTGCACTTTGCACGCCTGGAAAGCTTTGTGGATTGGGTATGGGCGCGGTCTCCTGAGTAGTGGGGGATCTTTTTCATGGGGGTCACTCTTTAGTCGTACTTGTCGCTGAGTTGTAGCTAATGCCTTGGGGCTCACTCGATTCTGTGGTTATTCGGCTTACTGGTCCGTGTTTTCTCCCTCCAAAGAAAGTGTGAGAAAGAAGACACCAATGTAACTGTTGGTTCGTGGCTGAGGTATTTCACAACCAAAAGTGTTGTGTCCATCCCAAAGATCATGGTCAACTAAGTGTCCACCGATAATCTGAAAGTAAAATGACTCCCACATCTTCTTCCTTGGACGTTTGCGCCTTTCGGCCATGGGCAGGACTAGAAGCTGGTGGAGACCTTGAAGCAGCGCTTGGCCGCGCTGCGTGCGTCGCCACAGGGCGCCGTCACGGCGTCGGCAGGGGGTCTGGTCGCCGAAGATCTGGATGTTGCTTGTCGGGGTGAATGTGTATTTTCCCGGTGGCTGGTAGGTTGGAGGCTGGGCGAGTCCCCAAACCGGCGTGCGATGTTTCTGTCTTCTCCCAAACTCGTAGGAGCGAAGTCAGTTTGGAGCCGTGCGACAAAGCCGTGAAGCAAGCGTGAAGCAACGCGGTCGCGGCATGTAATAAGCTTTTCGGCCGGTCGGATGAAGGCCGCAATCTGCGGAGGAGAAGAAGAGCCAAGAGGCGGGAGAATTGATTTCCCAGCTACAAACCAACAGGAGTTCAGGTACTGAGCACCAGGTAGTCACCACTGTGGTTGTCCCGAACGTTCGGCACCGCGCGGACGGACGGCACCTACCAACCCCGCGGCCAGGCAACCGAGCGGCCACTTGGGCGGAGGATCGTTTGGCGCGTGCCTGGCGATGGTTCCGAAGCAGAACTCCCAGTGACTTGGGCCCTGCGGACGGGTCCGAGGACGAGACAGGCAAGATGCGCAGATTAACGCCAAAGGACATTGAAGACGGTGCGCTACAGTTGCTGCGTTCGCTGCAAGGCTGTTATATCAGTAAAGGAGGCAAGCCCAAGCCGGTGAATGGAGACGTAAGCAAACTGCCGTACGTGCGCGGCCTGGGGCCGGCTGCGCGGAAGTTGGCGCAGAGCACGCGGCACACTGCGCAGAGCA